AGTGTGTGTGTGGTGTGTGTGTGTGTGTGTGTGTGTGTGTGTGTGTGTGTGTGTGTGTGTGTGTGTGTGTGTGTGTGTGTGTGTGTGTGTGTGTGTGTGTATTCATGCGCGTCATTTCGTCTTTGCGCTTGACAGAATTTTACGTTTCATATTTATGACGATTGAAAAAGCAAGCGAATAATAGAAGTTTTATATATCTTTATGCCCTTTTTTTCTATGTGAAAGTCGACTTTTCCCAAATTGACGAGCGTATTTTTCGTTCGAAATCTGAAAATTTTTATATCGGATTTTCTTGATCAATTTATAAATTAATTTTCAGAATACTTATCTTCTCCATTCACTCGCTCGTTCAATCGTTGTTTGCTTAAGAACTTTTGTGTACGTGTAATTATGCGTGTTTTGTATCGCTTATACGCTTTGCCTCTTTTCTAATGAGCGCGCAATGAGTCGCGTTTGTATCGGCAAAATTTTCATCGTTCGCAAAACGATACATTTATCTGTTTCGAACGTATTTGTATCGCGCTCAAAGCTTCGCTTCAAGCGCACATGGAATATGTGACAATTTAAATTGTTTCGATTGGAACACAATAGCATGATGGCTATGAAAATATATAGAGTTCTATCTCTTTCAGCGTTTGTGAGCGTTCGATCAATGTAGAAACTGTACTTATCACTGTTTGCATGCCTGAAAATGATCTTTTTTAAACCGAGAGAGTTTTTTCCAAATTCTCTCGGCAGGTAAGAACGAAGAGGAAGCATGAGTACGCTTGCTCACGCGAGATGGTTTTTTTTTCCCCAAGGCTGATCGCAAATTACATCGATGAGGAGCTTTTCTCTTTTTTTTCGGCAGTTCGGTCTATTCTATTATTTGTAATTATGTCCATACTTTATTCGAGTATTAAGTACAATCAAAAGCTCGCAGATTATATATATATATATATGTCTTGTTATTTCGAATTTCTATCTTTCTCAAAGCTAAGCAAATGAAATAAGTAACTCGAATCGAAACTCGAGCTTACTTACAGCCGCAGCTGATTAACTCCTAAGGAGGTCGTCATTTTACTCGAAACGCACCCCCCTCCCTCCCCACCGCCAAACGCGATGCTCTAACGACGTTGCAAATTAATTCCCGCTGCAGATCGTTCTCGAAAAGATCGGTTTCTCGAATGGGGGACCTGCGGTTAAATTGATGCCAAGGAGTGGCACGAGACGACGAGCTTCAACTTTGGTATTTGGAACGCGGCGAGACGTATCATATCGCGATATTCCGGCGGGATGACGTCCCCCGCTTCGACGATTGATGTGCAAGCGGAGTGACGACTTCCGGCGAGAGTGACACTTCCAACACGGAAATGGCCTTTACGCGAACGTCGAACGATTAGACTTCAGATAAACGACCGTGTTGCATCGGAGGCGCGTTTAATGGAAACGACAAACCCGTCGTGTTTATTTATTGCAACTTATATACGTTCTTACATAAAGAAAAGAAATTAACCGTGTATAAAAATAGTTGAAGATTAAGAAATATATTTTTTATTCGTTTCACATAAATATCACATTCATGCGGACACATCTTGCTGCGAAAGCACGATTCATCTTTGCATGAGCAACTCCAAATTCATGAAACGATAAAAGATATCGGTTATTTATAAGCGATGATAACGGACGGCGTTGAGTAAGGCCGATTTCTGTGTGGCGAAAATTGACGTATTTTCGCGGACTCGCTGACTCGGCAGATGGGAAAAATGAGCGATCGTTTTCAGACGACGACTTTGATCGGACTCCTGAAGACGGCCCGTCTGCTCCGCCTTGTCAGAGTGGCCAGGAAGATCGACAGATACAGCGAATATGGTGCTGCCGTTTTGTTACTCTTAATGGCCACTTTTGCCCTTATTGCTCACTGGATGGCGTGTATATGGTAAGTAATATCGTCTATATCCTCGGAGATACTCCTCACTAATTCATGTAATAAGTATGATTATTATTATAGCTATAGTCGAGTATTAATATTGTAGTTATATCTTCAACCGTAATTTTCATAGTCGAGTTCAAGTTGACCTTTTTTTAAAAAACTGAAAACTTTGTCCAGGGAGATCTACCTTCTTTTCTAAGCGATATAAATAACTAATAAAGTATTAAAAGATTATTAGAAATGAATGTCTTACAAAATGCATATATTTTAAAACTTTCTCTCAATGCAAAGTGTTACGTCCCGGTTATTTCGCGCTGTTTGAAGGTACGCCATAGGAAACGCCGAGAGACCGACCCTGAAGAGCAAGGTTGGTTGGCTCGACATTCTAGCCAACGACACGCATCAGTTTTACTTTCACAATAACACCGGCGGGCCGAGCATAAAAGTAAGCCATCCGCGCGAGCACCTCTCGAGTATGCTCTATTTGAGATCGCAACATTAATGGAAATATACGCGATTACTTTTTACGTGTGTAACGTGTGTAACGTCGTAATTTTTTTTTCCAGAGTCGCTACATCACGGCGCTTTACTTCACCTTCAGCAGCCTCACGTCCGTAGGCTTCGGAAACGTAGCGCCCAACACCGACGCCGAGAAGATCTTTACGATAATCGTCATGTTGATCGGATGTGAGTCGATAAATAAAATAATGATAAATCTCTGTGGCGCGCAGGCACGAATTTAAAACCTTCTAATTAAAAGTAATAATATTGATAGGAAGAAACAGAATGAAATTAAAAAATAACTGAAAGTATAAATACAAATAAAAAATAAAAATAAAAGAAGTAGAATAAATAGATAATAATTGAATCGTGATTGATGAAAATAAATGAAATATAAACGTAATAAACGTATTCTATAAATATACTATAAAAAATATTGATATTAAAATATCATGGAATTTAAAATTTTAAAATCTTGGATAGATAGATGATGAAATTAATTTCCTGGAAACCGCTAAAATAATGAAATTAATTCGTCTGAAACCGCCGGAAAATAATGTGAGATTCGCGATTTACTCCACGATACCTTGCTTTTAGCTCTGATGTACGCCAGTATCTTCGGTAATGTATCGGCAATCATTCAGAGGCTATACAGCGGCACCGCCCGGTATCACACACAGATGCTCAGGGTCAGGGAATTCATAAGATTCCATCAGATACCGAATCCGCTCCGCCAACGGTTGGAGGAGTACTTTCAACACGCGTGGACCTACACGAACGGGATTGATATGAACAGTGTTCTGAAAGGGTTCCCCGAGTGCCTTCAGGCCGACATCTGTCTTCATCTCAATAGGAATCTTTTAAACAATTGCCGAGCCTTCGAGGGGGCTAGTCCAGGCTGTTTAAGGTACTTCCTACAATTCTTACTCTTGATGCGAAATTAAAAATACCTTTGACATACACTTTTCACATAAGGAAGAGAGATACTTTTCATAAGAAAAGTTCTTTTATCAATAAATTGAAATGTGTGTGTGTGTGTAATTATCTATTAATTTATTCGTACTGATAAGGAAATTCCCTTTTTAGACAAAACAGGGCATTATCCTTAAAGTTTAAGACGACGCACGCGCCTCCGGGTGACACTTTAGTTCATCGAGGAGACGTGCTGACCTCCTTGTATTTTATATCCCGCGGGAGTATCGAGATCCTGAAGGATGATATCGTGATGGCCATTTTGGGCAAGGACGACATATTTGGCGAGAATCCGTGCATTTATCCGACAGTCGGAAAATCGTCCTGTAACGTTCGCGCCCTTACATATTGCGACCTTCACAAGATCCATCGGGATGACCTGCTCGACGTCTTGGCGCTTTATCCGGAATTTGCTAATCACTTCAGCCAGAATCTCGAGATTACTTTTAACATGCGAGACGTGAGTGTTATCTTTCGTGTTTTTTTTTTTCATGCGCGATTTTACGAAGATTAATAATATAAAATTAATAAAATTATAGTCCCATTTTTCTTTAAATTTCACCATCAACTTGTCGCGAAATTTATAAAGAAATATTTTTATATATAATTTACATTATATTTTATAATTTTGACACTTTTGTTTTGATAAGATTTTTGCTTCATAATTATTTAACTTAAATTGATTGCGTGACTGCTGCTTTATCTTCAGGAGGAGCAGGCTGGTGTCGATCCAATATCAGCAAGGTTTCCTGTCAGCACTCCGACCGACGTCGACATCGACGCTAGGAGGTTCGCTTTCCGTCCACCAAGATACCGTCGAGGACCAGGTGGTGGTCCTGGCACAAATCTTATTCCCACAGGTCGACAAGACTCCTTGCAGGACGACCAGGATGACTAGTAAGATTAACTTATCCATTATATCTATTTTTTTTCAATTTTTGTTAAATAGGAAGATATTCAATATTTACTAATCAGATTAGCGAGATAAACGGCTAATGGATATTAAAGAAGAAAATGAGAGCGCAGCGTGTCATGTTTGCCAGAACAATTGACGGATTAATCGATCAGCTTCTTAATTTCACTTCTTACCTGTTGCAGTGACAAAGGCAGCGGTCACGGTATTTTAGAATTCAGCACGGACAAGGCCGGTCAAGATGTGACGCCATTGAATCTGGAATTCGACGAGCCTAAACAGAGAAGCTCGACCTTAAACTCCATAACTGGTGAGTGGCCATCACTTCCCTCGATTGGTTTCCCCGCTTCGGGGAAACAATGTTCCAATTTGTCTCATGTTTGCTCCTGATATTCTGTTTGAGGAATGTTGTTCATTGCACGACGATATAGATCCCTTCGAAGCAGGTCATATTTTCT